GGAATTTCAAACTAGGAAATATGGTTACACATTAACAGGACATTATTTAAAACAGATATGAAGTAATTTCTACTCACAGAGGGTATTTAATCTTAGGAATTCTCTAACCCTGAGAGTTTTACAGGCTAGATCACAGAAAGATTTAAAATAGAGGTGAAGAGATTTTTGAAATATCAGGAAATTGACGGCTGTGCTGAACTGGAACAAGAATGGAATTGAGGCCTGAGGCAGATCAATCATCATTCTTATTGAATGGCAGGGCAGGCTTGAGAAGTCTATTTTTGGTCCTGTTTCTTACGTTCTTACATCTGGTGCCATTTTAGTAGAGGCTGCAGGTTTGGAAGGCATTCTTGAAAAAGCCTTGGTGAGTTGCAGTCGTGTATTTTCAGGGTCAAATAACCAGTAATCTGAGCAAAGCTGTGTCATATATAACTCATTTACTACTTGATGAATGGTCCTTTAAATAATCCAAAATGTGACTAGTTTGCTTCAGGATGCTTATTGTTTTGGCAGTGGTTAATGTAGATGTTTTCTGCCTATCTATTGACAAAATTTAGGATTTTGATCATTAAAAATCTCATTCTGATGCATGAAATCGTGAAAGTAACCATTCAAGGTCTTCAGAAACATACAGGGTATTGCCATTTGTGCAGCTGTAATGTATCAATGCTACAAAGGTTGTGCAGGAAGTGCCAGTAGCACTCTGTGCAAATGAGAAATCTGCAGTAGGCTTAATAGGCTACACAATTCAATTTCACATACACTGTGTATTTCAAATATTAGATGAGGTCCCACTTACGGGGCAATTGTGCAAAGGTATTGATGCTGAACTAGTAACCCAGGGTCCCAGGTACCATGCTGGGACTCTATGTTCGAAACCCACCACAGAAGATGGTGGAATTTGAATTTATAAAATCTGGAATTAAAAGTCTAATAATGTTGATTGTCATGAAAGCTCATCTGGTTCACTAATGTCTTTTAGGGAAAGAAATCTGTCATCCTCACCTGAGGTCATCTTCATCTGACTCCAGAATGGAATCCAGATAACTATGTGGTTGATTTTTAACTGTCCTTTGAAATGGCATTGTAAGCCATTCATTTCTATCAAAGCACACTGAAGCCTAAACAAACGATTGAAATCAGATGCACCACCTTCAACCTAGACACCAGAAGTCTAATAGGCAGCAAGCAACATTTGCATCACACAATTGCCGGATAATGATAACCTCGAAAAGGAAAAAATCTAAGCTTGTGATCTCTAACACAATGATTTCCGACAGTCATAGTCTCCGACAGTTGATCTCACTGGCCACCCTCGTTTCCTTGTCATGTATGTCTCTGACAGTCCATCTCACCGCCTGCCTGTAATTCTTCGCAATGCGCATGTTGATTGCTATGCCGCTCTAGGAATTCTGCTTCCAGAAGCTGTAGAGAAAAGTGCATGGCCTTATCAGGATTTTCTTGCTTGTTGCATTGTGTTTCAGTTTGATCCAGAACGACTTTCATTTCAGAAAAAAAGTATGTTCTGTGATAGTATTGGAAATAAATGAATAAGAAATATATTAGGAACAGATACGTGAAGCCTGTATATTAAAGTACTAGAAGTATAGGAACATGATGTCTGTGCGAACTCTCTGCAACAGCAGCTCAGTTGGTCCCATTTTTCTTCCTGTTCCCTGCAGGCCTGTGCTTATTTCCTTCAGCTGTTTATCTGCACGTGGATGAGAAGTTAGGATGAGAGCTGTTGCGCCCCAAATCCAATATCTGAACAACGCAAGCAAATCATGGGCCCTGGAAACAAATCACAACATTAAAAATGACTTGCGGTGCCACTACACTAGAAAGCAGCCAGCAACATTCTGAGTGTTCCAGAGACATGGATTGACCAGCAGCAGAGTAATGTCTTGAATTACATGGTGAAGCAATAAGAAGGAGTCATAAACTGGGAACATATAAAAAGAAACCAGAAAAATGGGAAAATAAATTTCTGTAAACAATTGTAAAAGATGAGCATTAGCCTTGTATGTTCATGTGTCATAAACGTATATTAATAAACGAAATGGGGAATTTGGAACAACACCACTCAATGATGCAAAGTGAATTCAAGGATAGTTTTCACTTAAACAGTATGATTCAGATAAAAAAATGTTAGTGAGCTGAAAGCCTTTTGAAAGTTCTACAGTCATGTTTTTCTAAGGCAGCAGCAAAGCCTGCACTGAACAGAATTTTGGATTTGTCATCTTCTGGTAAAATGCAGGAAATTATTCCCTGATGGCAAAGTAATTAAAGAACCAATGACTGCAGCCACAGACGCTTTATTCAAAGACTTTAAGGACAAGGAAGAAATAATTATTGCAATCCAGAGCATGTCACTTGGTGTTTCCACAGGAGCAGGCCAAATGGAATCTTTGTTTGAAGACATCTTTCAATAGCTACATCAGGATCTCAAGGACTGTGACTACAGTTTTATGACTGCATTAACATGCAACGAGCTGTCAGACAATACACGGTCATTTTTCTTCGGGTTCCTTACAGACATAATGTCAAAACTGAATGAGGTGTTAAGTGCAGGGAAGAGACAGAGTCTAGCATATATAATTAGGGTTGTGGAGGCGCTCAAATTGAAATTGGGTCTGTGGTTATCCCAAATAAAAAATATGCTGCAGCACTTTCCCAGCCTGGAGAAAATACTAGACAAAAATACAAGGAAAAATGGCTTTACCCAGAAAACCTCAGTGCACATCTGACGAAGTTAGCAGAAGAATTCAACATATGATTTCAGGAATTAGGTGTGATGGAACAAACCATCATATTTGTCTCAAATCATTCCTTCAAGTAGACTTTGGTGGATGGCTACCAAGTTCCATCAGATATTTGATTTACAAGCAATGAAGCTGATACGGAGATAATTACCGGGAAAATGACTTTGAAAGTCAGATCAAAGGACATAAACAGAAAAATTACCCACTCCTGATATCCTGTGCTTTTAATGCGAAAGCTTTAGTTTGACTCTGAGACAGCATTCTCCCAAATGATAAGGATCAAGTACATGTTTTGCACCTACCTCACAAATAATCATTTGATGGATTGTATATGACTAGCTGTTTCAAAGTACAACCCAGACTTCAAGGCACAGGCATATAATGTGCAGACACAGGTTTCACACTGAGACTTGACGAGTGAAGACAGAATGAAAAGTTATATATAAAATAAACATTTTATTCTATATTTTCTTCAGGGTAAATTCATAAAGTGATCTTGCATTTAAAAAGGTTGGAGATAACTGATCTAAGCATTTCCCCTGGCCATTCAAAGGCATTACCTGTGCTGAATGTTCCACTATGAACAAGCTGGGAATTACCAGCAACAAGAAACTGAACCAGAGTAGCTATATAAACTCTGTGGCTGTAGGAGCAGGTCAGAAGCTAAGAATTAGTTGGACTGAAGGGTCTGTTTACATACTATGTGACACTATTAGCCTATTTGGTACATGAATAGGAAAGGTTCAGAGGGGTATGGGCCAAACGCAGGCAACTAGGACTAGTTTTGTTGGGGAAACTTGCTTGGCATGGACGAGTTGAACTGAAGGGTCTGTTTCTGTGCTGTATGAATCTATCAATCTATAAATCTTTTCACCTCCTGTCTCCCTGAGCCTACCACCATCCAGAAGTCACAATTAAAGTGTGATGGAATACTCTTTTTGCTCACCTGGATAGGTGCAGCTCCAATCAAATTTTCTAAACAACCTGTTCAGAGAAGTTATTACAAACCTCTGGAGGAGGTGGGGCTTGAATCTGGGCCTCCTAGTCCAGGGATAGGTACACTACCACTGTGCCACAAGAAGGCCTCGAAGTAAAGCTCCACCAACAGTCAAGAGGATTAACAGTATCTGGGATAAAGTGGTCTGCTTGATTGCCACCCCATCCATCACCTTCAAGCTTCACTTCCTCCCCCATTGATGCTCAGTGACATCAGTTTGTACCATTTACAATGTGGACTAACAGCATCTTCAAAACTATGACCTCTACCACATAGAAGGACAAGGGCAGCCAATGGAAATACCTCATCTTGCAAGTTCCCGTCCAAGCAACACATAATCCTGATCGATCCTCCACTGTCACTGAATCAGAATCCTGGAACTCTCTTTCAAACAGCGCGGGGTGGGGTGGGGTCTTACCTTCAGCCCAAGGAAAGTAGCAATTCGCGGGTGATGGCGAATAAATGCTGGTCTGGCCAGTGAAACGCACACCGCATTGACGAATACAAAAAGTCCTGGTTAATATTTATCGGTCAAATAACAAAACTAGAAATACGCAATCTTGTCAGTATCACAGTGTGGACTACTTTGGCTTTTGCATTACCTGAGTTACAACGGTGACTTTACAGATGGGTGGGAGAGGCATGCTTGGATTTAAATACATGAGAATTTTAAAGCTGATGAAATTGGGGAACAAGGACACAATATAGGTCAGCGCGGATAGGATGAGTGGAAGGCATCAGTGATTTTGGGAAAGAAAACTTACATTGATGTGGTCTTGAATACAAAGATTGACCAGGATAGTATTAAAATTATGTAATTGGGTGATGGCGAAGGCCTGGAAGAGCAAGGCAGTAGCCACTGGCTTTTCAGTACTATATTCAACCGAATCTTGTATCACTCCCGTTTATTCGCCAAGACATGTTATACAATAAATCATTTGAACACATAAAATATGTACTCAAACTGGGTCGTCTATTTTAGAACGAGGAGCACAGTTTCTTTTGTTTGGGTTAAAACCTGCCGTTTTGAGGTGTAAACTGTCGACAAGGTGCGATTTGCTAACCCCAGCAAGAAACCCAGCCGGGCGTGAGCGCGCGCGCTAAACGCAGGTGCTGCAGGCATCCAGGTTAACGCATGCCCAGCACTGGGTTGGCCACGGCCGGTTTTGCCTTCAAGCGCATGCGCATGTACTGTACCTCCATCTCGCCGCGAGCTCTGTGCTGACGCAGCCAGAGTGCGGGCAGTCAGTGAGCGGGTGTTGATTGGTGGTTACTTCCCTGACCAACCGCCGCCGCCTGAAACTGAGCGGCGCAGCGACAGGGGACGGGCCGACACCAACAGCCTACGGCACGACAGGACGAAGTGTTAACATGGACTGAGGAGCGCCGACTGTAATATATTAAGACCTTTCTTTCATTGCAAATTATTCCTGGATTTTGGCCTGGATTTCCAGGGAGCAGTTCTATCCAGAGAACGGAAGCCTTGGACTGTGGATTTTTTTTAAGGCAGTGAAAAAGAGAAGGTGGGGTCGCCAGGAGGAGGGCAGCGCCAAGCGTAGCCCAGCAGTCTGCTTTACCCGGCTGCTTCACTATCAATCAGTCTTCGTTTCGCTGGTGCTGGCTGGAAAAAAATCTTTTTCTTTCATTGTGTCTTGAATTCTTTAACTGATCTACACGGGAAACGTTTTGTTTTAAAGATCAATTTCCCCATTAGAGGGAGTTTTTTTTTACTTTGAATTCCCTCTCAAAATTCTGATTTTAATTATCGACTATGGCCGACGACGACGTCCTGTTTGAAGATGTATATGAGCTGTGTGAAGTGATTGGCAAGTAAGTGTTTTTTTTAAAAATAAATTTAGATTAAAGTAGAAATCAACTGCAGCCAGAATATTATGGTTGTGGTTTCATTCGTGGATTTACAGAACAGGCCCTCCCGCTGTTTCCAGTGGATTACAGGATACGGCCGAGGGATTTATTTAGCTTTTTTTGCATAATAACGAAAATAATTCTGGAAGTAAATTTAAGCAAATAATATTTAGACATCAACCTTATGCGTTCGGAAACAACTCCATATTTATTTGCTACAATTTTATGTAAAAGTGGTACAGCCCATTGTGGACATTATTTACTTTGTAATGTATGAACTGAAATTGAAATATTGATAAAGCTGCTCTTGCATCTGAAGGATACGGTGCCTCCTTTTGAAGGAGAGGAGCATCAGGCATTTATCCAGGAAATAATGAGTAGCTTCGGTTGTTTCCCGCAAAACCAAGAAATTAGCATTAATTTATCAACTGTATTAATGTATTATGTTATAGTTTTGATTCAGAAAGTTTATCGTTTAACGTTGTATGATATAATCCATTTTCTTAAGCCGGGTTGACGATCAATTTTCGTGTTGTGAGAGCACTAATGCTCTAGCGAAGCAGTTATTCTGATGCAGTGATTTTCTGTTAAATAACGAAAGAATGTTTTGACAATGTACAAGATTTTAATTGTCAAGATAAACATTTGAACAAGAGTTTCTCCTTATGGGGTGGGTCATTGTTATTTGTATTCTTAATTATTTTAAAACACTAGTGTCCAGGACGTGGTTTATGCATGTTTATTAACATAGCACTTTTGTATCTCATTTATTTGTTTAGACATTTTGTGAGAAATATTTATTTTTTATTATGTTCAAATGGTGGATTGTTTTCTGTTTTTTGGCCTATGCAATGTAATATGTTTTCAGTCCTGTTAGGTAATCAAAATAGTGTTGACAGATAATTTCAAATATCTGTAATTGAAAGTAAACAGTCAAATATGATGCTTCTTTTGAAATTATCTTTAAAAACTCAGGCTGTATCACAGACTTTTAAATTTAGCATGTAGTTTTAGGAATGTCATTCTTACCTTTTGCATCTATCAAGATTTCCTGTTCCAAGCAAATTATTTTAAAGATACAGCAGTGACTTAACCCTTTTTCGGGTATTCAGACTCCTGAAGGGTTTTGTTTTAAGACTTGTGACCTTGTGTATGTTTTATTTTATATTTATATAACAGAGTTGATCAGTTGCAAGTTTTATATATGTTAAATTCATTCTTCTGTAATTTCATCTGATAGAAATTGGAAGATTGCAATACTAAATATATAGCAATGGTTTTTTAAATTCCACTTTTGCAATTGAATCTCAGAAGATATTGTGTATGAATAGTTGAGAGGATACCACCGTAGATGTGATAAATATTTTGAGATGAACCTGTCTTAATAGGAAACTATAATGACTTGAATATTTTTGCTTTTATATTCAATGACATAACAAAATAGCTGTAAATATGCAATAAAACAAATTTGTGGTCACATTCTTTGATTTCACAGTTGCAATTGTATTTACTATAATGCTTTTCCTTTTAAAATTTTGCACTCCAGTTGTCTGTCTTTGGTCACATGATGCTAAATTGAACTGCATTAGTCAGTTTTACAGTACCTATTTTAGGTAGGGAAATAAGCATTGCTTAGGAGTTGTAAAAGTGTCATTCTGTTCAAATCTCTTAAATGTCTTGCTTCATTCTGTAATCTATGTGCTATGGATATTGGTGAATGCACAAGAAGCCAATTCTTTCATTTCACCACTCGTGACCATTGCCTTCAGCTGCTTAGAACCTGACCTCCGAGATCTCCTCCATAAATCATTTCACATCTCCAACATGCTCTCCTCTCTTTGTTAAATTGCTTTTTTTTTACCTGTGTAACGTTTTGGAAAACTTCACTTTGATAAAGATGCACTTTTGCTTGGCCTGCTGTGTTCATCCAGCCCTGCAAGCCTCTCTGCTCCTATGATGCTGCTTGGCCTGCTGTGTTCATCCAGCCCTGCACCTTGTTGTCTCTCATTTTTTTGTTAAGATGTTTTATTTAAATTCTATTTTAATTCTTTAACATTTTGAGTTTGGAATGATTTTCAGTCATGTTTGGCAAAAGAAAAGCATCAAGAGTTGCCAAATTAATTAAGAAACAACTAATGAAATCAGATTTCAGGAGCAAAGCCTCTAGAATCCTTCAAGGGAAAGTTGAATGCTGTGCTACTGGAGTGTAGGCTTGCATCAAAAGACAACATAGATGGTTAAAGTTGTCTTTCTTATCAACTAAAACAACTTTGGTGCTTAGATTCATATGCATTTTATACTTTGAAAAAAACACAGAAAATCCTGAATGTACTCAACAAATCAGGCAACATCTATGTAGGGAGAAATCAGTTAACTTTGCAGGTCGCTGACCTTTCATCAGAACTGAAAACATTTAGAACTAAGTAATTTGTTGTAATGGATTAAATTTTCCTCATTGTTTCCTTTCAAAAACAAAAAACAGCTTTGTTGGTTTTACCAGATTAAAATGAACATACGAAATGATATTATTACATTTTGTTAGCTTTGTACATAATGTTCAGTGAAGTAACTTGCTGGTTCATTCACCTCTCCCCAAAACTGCAATCAAGTGTTTTTGTTTTGTCTTTTATAGGGAAAAAGAAACCAATAATTAGCTAGAGGACTCATTCACAATGCGGATGAAACTCCTTGGAAAATTTGTATTAGGCATATGTTTTATTGATGTGCATGGACGAGCAGACTCCAAGGGGTAAAAGTGGCCTGCTATTGATTTAAGACTTGGAGACAGTATGGACTGCAGACATTGGAAGCTAGGGTCAATAAATGTGGAGCTGGAAAAGTACAGCAGGCCATGTAGCATCCAAGGAGTAGGGATATCAACGTTTCAGGCCAAAACATTGACTTCCCTACGCCTCAGATGCTGTCTAACCTGCTGTGCTTTCCCAGCTCCACAATGATTTGGATGTTGATCTATTTTCTGATAGAATGGAGGATGGGTGATTAACCAGGACTTCGAGTATCAAGAGTTAGTGAAGCAAGGATCTGGATGTGAATTTTAATAGCAGATGCAGTAAAACAGGTAAAGGTGGACAATATCACAGATATGCTTGTAGGTGACCTTTGTGAATTCACAATGATATGAGGTGGGGAAATTGACTCTCGGATTTTGAGTTATGAATAGTGGTTCATAATCATAAAGGGGAAGTGATAGGTGATGTTGTAGTGGTATTATCGCTGGACCTGTCAATCCAGGGACCCAGGTAGCATTCTGGGACCTGAGTTTGAATCCCACCATGGCAGTTGGTGGAATATGAGCTCAATTTTAAAAAAAATCTGGATTTAAGAGTGTCATGATGCCCATGAAACAATCACTAATTGGCAGTTAAAATCCATCTGGTTCATTAATGTCCTTTTTTAGGGAAGATAACTGCCATTTTTACATAGTCCAGACTACATGTGACTCCAGATGACAGCAAAATGGTTGATTCTTCACTATCCTCTGGGATGGGGCAATAAATGCTGGCCTAAGCAGCAATGCCCTCATCTCATGAATGAATAAAACAAAACTTGTAAGATACAGGCATCGCTGGCTGGCTAGCCAGCATCTTATTACCTGTCCTTAGTTACCTTTGAGAAGGTGATTGTGAGCTGCCTTCTTAAACTGCAGCAGTTCATGTGCTTTAAACTGACCCACAATGCCCTTTAGGGAGGGAATTCCAGGATCTTGACCCAGTTACAGAGAAGGAACTTGCGATTGTGTTGGGAGAGTGGAGTCAGAATTCATGGTGAGGCAATCAGAATTCATGAGTCCCCCGGCCATGCATTCACATCCAGGTGGACCAGGTGGTGGACATTTTAGCTGATACCTTTTAACCTCTCCTTGCTACAATCTGAAGTCCCCACCTGCTTCAAGAAGACCACCATCATTCCAGCAGCAAAGAAAACACCTGCAACATGCTTCCATGACTGCTGCCCAGTGGCTCTGACCTCCATAATCATAAAATGCATCAAGAGATTAGTCATGGCCCGCGTCAACTCTAGCTTCCCAGCCTGTCTTGATCCTTTGCAATTTGCTTACTGGTGAAAGAGGTCCATTGTGGACACCATTTCCCTAGCACCATGCTAATCCCTGGAATATCTGGACAGTAAGGATACCTATGTCAGGTTCTGATTTATCAACTACAACTCCACCTTCAACACTAATCCCAGACAAACTAATCTCAAAACTCAGACCTAGGTCTTGGCTCCACCCTCTGCAACTGGATCCTCAGCTTCCTGACCCACAGACTGCAATCAGTAAAGGAAGACAATAACATCTCCTCCATGATGATCCCCAACGGTGGCACACCACAAAGATGCGTACTTAGCACCCTACTGTGTGGCCGAATTTCGTATGAACACCTTCTACAAGTTCACACGACGCTGCCATTGTAGGCCAGATATCAAGCAATGATGGGTCAGAATACAAGAAGGAGGTAGAGTGCTTGGTGTTGTGGTGCAATGATAATAGTCTCTCTCAATGTCAAATGAAAGGAGAAGGACTGTACATCAATGGCGCTGAGGTGGAGAGGGTTGAGAGCGTCAAGCTCTCAGGAGTGACGATAAGTACCAACCCGGCCTGGACCTTCCATGTAGATGCAACGGTCAAGAAGGCACAACAAGCCTCTTCTTCCTGACCAACCTTTTATGGATGCACCATAGAAAGCATTCTGTTTGGGTTCATAATGGCTTGGTATGGCAACTGCTCTGCCCAGGACCATAAGAAACTATAGAAAGTTGTGTATACAGCTCAGGTCATCCATTGTGGACACCATTTCCCTAGCACCATGCTAATCCCTGGAATATCTGGACAGTAAGGATACCTATGTCAGGTTCTGATTTATCAACTACAACTCCACCTTCAACACTAATCCCAGACAAACTAATCTCAAAACCAATCTCTCATCCGTGGACTCCATCTACAT